ACACACACACACACACACACACACACACACACACACACACACACACACACAGTCCGTTTGCTCATTAGAACTGCACTAAACCAACCAGATTAAGCTCAAACTTTAGGCCAAACCATTGAAAAGTTGTAAAAAGTCAAATGCACACACATTTCCAGCAACGTAGAATGATATTTGTATCTAGACAGGCAGTGTGGGTGGTTGGCGGGTGCTCTGGTGCGGTTTGTTAGACTATTAGATTGCTTTTATCAATATACAGAAGGGAAGCAATAAATCCTGGATTGTTGGTCCTTATATTAACATGTTGAATTATGTCCCTGTAATTGTAGGCCCTACTTTTATTTATCTACCCTCACAACAAAGATTGTCTGATCTTAGTGATCTTTACTCACTCCTCCTTCCTGTTTCAATCACATGTACTCATGCTCATTATGATTTATTTAGTCTTGTCAGTGAAGCCAGAGAGGGCAGACCTCATATCTTTTTCATCATTAAATTACCCTTCTTCATCTAGAAACGGAGTTTTTCCTTTTGCTTTATTAAATACAATAATGGCAAACAACCCCAGTGCAACACGGTTTGCTTCTTCTTTCCTATCAAACACCTATCGTCCTGATCTCTCCTTCTTTTTTGTGTTTGTTACTCTCTTGTAACACCTCCAATCTTCGGCACTTATATGACCTTATTGTGTTGCAAGTGCCGTAAAACTCTAACTAAAACTAAAAGAAGGGCAGAGAACAGAAGCATGGAAGACACAACATTTGCCGTCACTATCTACGAAGGGGGACAACGCCATCAATTCCTGACTTCATTAGAAGTGCGACAACACCATCAATTCCTGACTTCATTATTGGAAAGAACAGTGTAAGTAGAGGGTGCGGTGGCGGAGTGGTTAGTGGCTCGTCTCCGAAGCGGAAAGTCAGGGTTCGAGCCTTGGTTCGAACACAGATTTTTTTCGCCCCCTCCTGCCCACCCAGCAGTAATGGGTACCTGACTTCGAGTCAGGGAAGTAAAGGCGGCGTGGAAAGGAACTGGCCACCCTACCACAATATGCCGAAGGCCCAAGAAGTTGTCTCACTAACAAGGCAATCCCCTATGTCCAGATCGGATGCGGAAACAACTTTACTTTACAGTGTGAGTACAGTGGGCCTCAAGCCTTCCAGCCCAACAAGCAGAAGACTAATATTACAATTTCCTTCATTATGTGAAATATTATAATAAAAGAATATCTGGTGAACTTAGATAAGACTACAAGTAACAAGACCTGTAGTGGAACTACAAATTGCAACATTGTGATATTGCAACACACAGCACAGAACGATTCCTCAGAAAATGGCAGCTCTCACGTTGGTTGAATATGGTGCACGGTTAGATCACAGCGGACATATAAAGATTTTTTGTTAGACAACGGAACATATATTGACTTAACTCTGTGCAACATACGAGGTGTGTATTAGTCTGACCTGCTCTCACAAGCTGTATGACGGTGAGGAATACTTTTTGACCAACCGGTAACCAAGCAACATGAAACAGTTCGCGACCTCAGTGCTTTCTTGTCCTTTCCCAATTTTTTGAACAGTGAAAATGTGACTTCTTCTTAAGCTCACTCTTTGTTATGAACTGTTTTCACTGTTATTAAACATGGAGATAGGACAAGAAAGCACTGAGTTTGCGATACAAATGCTGCTAGTGTAGTAATCATATCGGTGAACCATATTTTGATGGTGCTGGACAGCGATCTATGAAACTGGTCCCACCACATTGCTCAACTTCTCATGTCTCATATCTTCTTGAAATACGTCCAGCTCAAAGTCAAAAGAATCAATTTTTAAAAATATTTGAGGCAGAGACAGGCCAATCCAAATTGGAGATGGAATAGACAGCTTAGCTCATAACACTAGTGCATCCAGAATAACTAAAATCAGATTTTTCTTATCTGTAATATAACATGAAATCTTAATCTCTTTCTTCATCCATGTTATGTTCTATAAATACACGCATAAAACATACACCACACTTTATCATACCGCTATTGAACTGTAAGTACAGAGAGTCAACTGAAAGTCAAATAAGTTTTTCTCCCACATTTGACAGATGAACCCTATATGGTCGCTTTTAAGGACAAGCGGGCTTACCCACATTTCGGGGGTTTCCAGAAATCTGGACCTACACCAAAAGTGGGCATTGCCCTACCTATAGGAGAAGTTTGCTTTCATTGGTGTGTATAAATTTGTTTGGTTATAGAGAAAACTCTCTTTGTCTTTTAAAGAAACTGAACAAG